GGAGACTAAGGTGCTCCTGATCCGGGCTATAGTCTTCGCAATTACGTGCTATGCATCAGAGAGTTGGAAAGTGAATAGGGATGATAGAAAGAGAATTAATGCCTTTGAGATGTGGTGCTGGAGACGAGTGTTGAATATATTATGGACTGCTAGGAGAACAAACAGGTTTGTCCTGGAGAAGGTGAAGCCAGAATGCTCCTTGGAGTCAAGGACTATGAAGCTTCGTTTGGGCATGTTGCAAGGAGGGACTGGTCCTTGGAGAGGGACATCATGTTTGGGAGAGTGGAGGGGCGGTGCAGGAGAGGAAGGCCTTCAATGAGATGGATTGATTCTGTGACTGGAGTGGTGGGAATGAGTGAGTTTGAGATGGCTAGGTTGGCATAGAATAGAACGGCATTTAGAGCTCTTGTACACAGGGTCGCTATGAATCGCAAGCGACTCGATGGCACCTAACAACAACAACAATACATGCATAATGCAAAAGATGAACAGGCATGGGATAGCAAATAAGTACACTCATGATTATATATAGATTTGGCAGAGGATAGCTGACATACATATATCTGATATGTGTTACAAAGATATCTAGGCATACAGTAAAGCATATAGGTGCAAATACCCTGAAGAAATGAGTCTCTGGGCTTGTGGTCTTTGAACCATAATCTTAATGGTCTAGACAAATGGGTATTAAATATGTTCCAGAAACACAATGTTCTGCATCCTACTTTGGTGAAAAGTGACTAGGGTATCTCAGATATAACTACTAGTCTCTTCCCGTCTGGAACAAAGAAACGTGAAGAAAATCATTTAAAGACTCAGGAAACAGTCCAAAGGACTGACAGATCCCAGGAACCACAGTCTCCATGACCCTGAGGACAGACATGGTACACAGATAGCACTATCAGGATAATGAGACAAGGTCCTAGACAGAGTGGGTGAAGAATATAGTACAAATATTAAAATAAAGCACACTTTAAAAATAAATAATATAAACCACACTTACTAGTCTGATATAACCACCAAGAGTATGGCCCTTAGACATCCCTCAAATCAATCTTGAACTAAACATACTCACAGGGTTCTTGTAATTACAACTTCGTATCAAATTAGAACTCCTCTCAGAAACACTGTTCTATAATAACACTGCAGAGGCAATGGCAAAGTCCTCTTCACAAGGAAAACGGAACCTAAAGAAGTCTTTTTATATCTTACCTTCTTCCTTGACTTCCTCACTAGGCTCTCCTGGAAAAGGCTCCTTTGTGAAGGGATGATCACCTTTTTCGTCTCTAGTAATGGGCCCAGGCCTCAGTGCAATTTTCTTCATTCTTCTTGGACCAGTGACCTGGAGCTTTCCTTTATCAATATGTATGTTAAGGGGCTGGAAAGACTCCAAAGAAGGTATAGTGATTCCCTGAGAGAAGGTTTCATTGACAGCTTCTAGAATTGGTATATTTGTATCCTGCATAGGTATCCTGGAGCTTGAAGATGGCTCTCCCACACCAAGCTGATTTCCTGCATCCTGTATAGACTGTATTTCAAGGCCAGCTGCTCTTTCATGGCAGGAACCCCAGGACAGTGACACTGACTCCAAGTCTTTAATCTCATCAGATTCTGACTTAACAGCAACCTCTGGGTCTAAGTCATCTTCCTCCTGGCTGTCTTTAGGCTGTGGGGATTCTGTAAATGTAGTTCTTCTCTTCTTACAGGGCAACATTTTATAAGTCCCACTTTTATTCCATCCTAGAAAGAGAAAAAACAAATCATTATCATCTTCATACTATTTAGTTTCATTTCCTCAAATATCTTTCCACTTCTTCATGTTCAAGTCATGAACGCAGGACCAAATGCACAATACAATCTAACTTTAGTTGGGAAATGACACAGTGCTTGGCGTGCTGATTTTAATCATAACTCTACTACTACTGGTTGTGTTACTTGATCAATTGACTTAAGCTCTTGAAACTTCAATTTCCTCAACAGTAAAACATAACTAGTTGTAGCAAGAATTAAACAGAAAATTTTTAACAAGTGTTAGTTACCATCACTGATATGACAGAACAATATACTTAGCAAACTGTATGGACAGTTTCCAAAGTCAGCTCCTCTCTAGTTTCACAAACTTACCTAAGTTAATTAACTAATATCTTAGTTTCTTGAGATAATAAGGGATCAATATATTTTGGTATTGGTGTTTTCATGACCAAGTATTCCCAGTAATAATGAAAAAGCAAAATGTGGCTGTTTTTTTTTTTTAAATAATTTATCTTTTATTGAAATTGTTGATCAACTTTTTATATTACAGTAAATTTGAAAAATGTGGTTGTTTTAAAGAAGTTAAAACATTAATATAAATTCTGAGGGAAGTCTTGTGGACTAGTTGTAAGGCGTTAAGGAGTTGAGCTGCCAATCCAAAGGTACATGGCTCCAATCTACCAACTGCTCCATGAGACAAAGGTGGAAAATTTCATCCTGTGCAATGTAATGTCTCTGAAAACCCTCTGGAGGGTCAGCTATGAGGCAGTTTCAATTCAACTACACATAACAACAAATTATACATCTGAAAAGTACTCAAGGAGCATATGTTATTTTACATACAAATTTCTATTAAAAACATTAAAAGAGAGGGGAGGATTAACAGAGGAGAGTCGCACTATCCTCCACACTACAGGTATTTTTAGACTACTGCCTTCATTTTAGTTAAATTATAAGAGTAATATGGACCTCAACCAGAATGTTTCAGCATTTATTTGTGCACATTTTAACAGTATTTATCACTTTTGTTCTCTACTTTCATCTCCTTTGCAAAAACTAAGAGCTCTCTAAGGAAAAGAGCTCTTTCAACTATTCTTTCAAATAACTAGCAACATCTCAGTAATTGTTGGCACTCAAAGCCTCTTGAATGAATTCCAGAATTTATTCTGTGCTTCTACAAGGCATAACATTTGGATCAAAATATTAAGTTGTATATAAAAAGTAGCTTGATTTTTCTATCTAAAAATCGTTGCTGTTGGCTGGTGTGCGGATGAGTCAGAATCGATTCATAGCTGATTCTCCAGCACGTTTTCAGGGGCAGTACGTGGGAGGTGGTGGTTCATCTTTCTCCAGATGAGCAGCTGGTGAATTCTAAGCTCTTAGGAAAACATTATTCTCAATAAAACAGAAGCAAGAATAGAATACACTATCTTTGTTACACTGAGATGCCCTTCACTTAAGATTTAAGAAACATATGACTACTAGAGGAAAGCTTGAACTAAAAATAAAGATACCCAAGAGTTGACATTCTGTGCAAGAGCCGAAATGCACTATAGGGTTTCCAAAGCGGTAAATCTTTACGGAGGTAAAAAGCCACATCTTACTCCTACTTTGCCAGTAATGAGTTAAAATAATCGACTTTTTGTTCAGTTGACCATTGCTCCATCACTTCACCAAAAACGGCATCTTTAACTTGAATTGAAAACCAAAGCTTTTCAGAGTCTTAACTATAGTTTTAATAGTTCCCTATAACGATTCTCCAGGGCACTAGGAGAGAGAACTGAAACATCAACTCAAGATATTGGGAATTAATGTCCAATAAGCATGTGAAGATCTCGTGGATCCCTAAGAAGTGCGGCGGTTGGTGAGTGAGTCAAGGTGAGTTCTTTATTTCACAGACGAATTATGCGAGGTCCAGAAAACAAAAAAGATAGCTACTATTTAAAGTCAGTAACGCTGTACGGGTCAGCTTGAAGCACCTCAAACACATCACTAGTTCGTTCACCTCCCGGACTGTGAATGAATGTCAACCTAAATTCAGTCACAGTGGCGGCCCCCTCCCGCGAAAACATCTCAAAAAGAGCTTCCAACTACGTTTTCATTTCACTCAGAGCCCTGGCCCAACTCTCCGTTGCCACAGAGACACCCTCACACCTCTACCTTCCAGCAGCACCTCAGCCCATCCCAGCCTCACACGCGACCCCTCATCCTGGACTCCTTCGCCCAGCATTCCGCGATTCCACCTATTTCTTCCCGCCCCTTCGCACACAACACCTCTCCCTCACCAGCCGGCCTTATCCCGCGGAAACTCGGTTTCAGCACCACCGGAAATCAGCCAACGGCAGCGACTGACGTGCGCGTCCCCGAATGGCGGCGCGCGACATCTTAATGAGTCAACGAGCATGCGCCAAACTGGAGGCCCAACCCACTTCAGGGCCCGATGAAGCCACTTCCATGGTGTGGCAGTTGTGGGCATAAGATTGTAGCCACAGTCACTCTCTCTAGAAATATAGGTGCGCTGGATTCAGGCCATGCTCTTTTCTTTCTTTTTTTTTTTTTTTTAAATCAGTCTGTAATTGTGTACCCAGTCCAAAAAAGAGTATGTTTTTATTTAAACAACCCAGGAAGGAAAACAGCCCCAGAATCAACCAAAAAGACCACAGTCTTTTGAATCAGACAGCTGGACAATGAATAAAAATGACAGAGGAAGAGTCTCGAATCGATGGTACCTAACACCATCAGTCTTGAATGATCTGGGCTGAATCCACAAGAAGCAGCACCAGGGAAAGGGAAGCAATGTCCTGGATGGAGATTTACACTCTCAGAAATCTACTGTGTGGTAAATTGAGTTAATTGTGCTTATACGAAACTATACTTAGACCAAGAAGATGTCGTCTAAGTAGACGAAGGGAACACTGCATGTTTTAAAATCAAAAAAGGTGCCCATCAGGCCTGTATCCTTCCGCCATACCTATTCAGTATGCATGCTGAACAAATCATAGAAGCTGAGACTTTATGGAGAAGAATGTGACATCAAGATTGCAGGAAGACTCTTCAAATCTCTTGTGTAGGTAGATGACACAACCTTGCTTTCTGAAAGCGAGGAAGACTAAAAATGCTTGCCCCAGAAGATCAAAGACTACAGCCTTCAGTATAGGTTACATCTCAACATCGAGAAAACAAAAATCCTCATCATTGGAACCAATAGGCAACATAAAGATAGATGAAGATTGAAGATGCTAATGATTTCATCTTACTTGGATGCACAATACCCTTGGTATCAGAAGTCAAGAAATCAAAAGAATAAATAAATAAATAAGACATGTTACATTGGGAAAATCTGTTGTCAAGGACTTCTTCAAAGTGCTAAAAAGCAACGATGTCAGTTTAAGGACTAGGGTACACCTGATTAAAACCATGGTCTTTCAAATTACTTGCTATGCATTTAAAAATTGGATAATGAAAAAAGAAGATGGAAAGATGGACCAAAAAACTGATTCCTTGACTTCTGGTGTTGGAGAAAAGAAATTAATATCCCATGGTCTGCCAAAAGAACAAACAAATATATTTGGAGAAAGTGGACCAGAATGCTCCTTAGAAGCAAGGATGATGAAATTTCATCTCACATACTTTCGGCCTATTGTTGGGAGGGGCTAGTCCTTAGAAAAAGACATCATGCTCAGAAAGTAGATAGTCAGTCAAAGAGAAGAAGAAAATGGATTGCCATTGAGATTGTAAAACTAGGCTCAAGAATATCAGAGAGGATGAGGATAGAAGATCATAGGGAAGATCATAGGGAAGATCAGTTATGTTCATAGTGTTGCTATGAGTTGTAGTCAACTTGATGGCACCTAACAACAACTCAGAACAAAACTGTAAGAGTTGAGATTCAATGATTTACTTTGACAAATAATCACACTTGTTGTGAGACAAAAATAATCACACTGGCTGTAGGACACTGGGAATACAGGACCATGTAAGCAGAGAATTTTTGAAAAGTAAGTAAGAGCAGTTCCCTTAGTAGTGCTTGTGTCATCTTGCTGAATATTATTAAAATGTGGCTGGAATGGTGTATTGCCAGAAAATCATGGCTAGAATTAGAACCCTTGGCAAAAGGGATATTTTACTGGTATCATATGGATCTTGGTTGAATACAGAGAATATTAGAATGATGTCTATTTGTGTTTTATTTCCTATGATAAGGCTTCAGATTGTGTGGATCCTAACAAATTATGGCTGACATTAAGAATGTCAACAAATCCAGAACACTTGGTTGGGGTCAAACAAAAACCTATGCCTTAAGAATTGGAATTACAAGATACAAAGGATCTCATATTGTTATGTGCTGTGAGTCTACTCTTAACTCGTAACAACCCTATGTACAATAGCTCTGAACCCTGCACTATCCTGAGCCTATTTCATCGTTTTTGATACACCTATCTCCATACCTTTTCAACCTATATGCAGAACAGATTATCTGGGAGGCTGGGCTCTATGAGGAGAAATGTGGGGTCAAGATTGGGGGACGATTTATCAACAATCTGCGTTATGCCGATGACACAACCCTGCTTGCTGAAACTGAAGAGGACCTGAAGCACCTGCTGCAGAGGGTCAAGGACTGCAGCCTCCAATATGGATTGAGGCTCAATGTCAAGAAGACAAAAATTCTCACCACTGGACCAAATGGCAGCATCAGGATGGATGGTTAAGAGATTGAGATTGTACACAGCTTTAGTTTGCTTGGCTCCACAGTCAACACTCTTGGCACCAGTATCCAGGAAATGAAAAGGTGCATTGCCATGGGAAAGTCTGCTGTTAGGGACCTCTCAAGAGTACTGAAGAGCAATGGTGTCTCTCTGGAGACTAAGGTGCATCTGATACAGGCCATGGTCTTTACAATCACTTGTTATGCATCAGAGAAGAGAGTTGGACCAAGGAGGATAGAAGGAGAATTGATGCCTT